TAAGAAACCCTAGACCAACTACAGGGCAAACAGATCCACCAAAAAATCCAAAAATTGGGCTTACCCAAGATCTTCGATCAGCCTCTTAAATCACCATGCAATCGGCCGATCTAGGGCTGCATGAGAAAACAACTCAAAGAACCTTCGGTCTGCTCTGATACCAAGTAGAAATTACTAATTGTAGATTTAGATGACCTTGTGAAGAGAAGAAGATGAAGAGTTTCAGCAGTAGGGAAGAAAAAAGGAGAAGAAAAGAGTAGGAAGTCAACCAGAATTGAAGTAGATCTAGCCGCCAACCCCTCATTATAATTTATACTTAACTTAAAGAATGAGATATTACAAGAACGCCCTTAGTAGGGCGGCTACTAAAGTAGTTGAACAGTCACAACTTAAAACATAAACTAATGGGCCTAAAGCCTAACAACTTCATAACTTAATAACTTAATATAAGAACAAAAAACAAATGGGCACAATAACTAGAAACCGGCCCAACTCAACAAATTGTAGGTGATTCAAAGGTGGTGGTGGGCTGGTTATAGAATGAAGAAACAAGCCTATGGATCAACAATAATGAGAAGAAAAAATTTAAATGGCTGATATAGAATATTGACATCAAAGTGCATTGGGTAAAAATAAGTGCCAATTCCTTTGCAGATTCTCTTGCTAGGCAAGGGTCAGGTAAAACTCAATCTTTTCTGGGCATAGTTGTAACTGATTTGTACTTGGGCAGAGACAAGAGGGTTTATCTCTCACAACCATTTTGCTGTGTTTAAAATTAAATTACTTATATTAATGAAAAGTTTCAGTTGGTGATAAAAAACTATATGGTGTGAGTTAAACAAATCCTTCATTTGGATCCATCCACAGGAAAAAAAATCATAGTTAGGATAAAAGTGATGGTAAAATCAGATGCAGACAATGTGCCCAAAGGCATGTGCCTCACTCACCAAGGTGGCAGGATGAGGTGAGGCACTGCAGTGTCAACTCGACTCACATGAGAACATAGCCTTTAGTGAGTTTACTGACTGACCCGGCTAGAATGTCATGTCATGTGAGCCAATATGAAAATGAGGAACTATAGCATCACTTAAATTAGATACAAATTTGTTTTATTGTCTTTATAAGTTATGGTGTACAGGCACCATAAAAGTTTTGTTTTACAACTCAAAGCCTGCCCGACTAATTTGACAAGAGAGCCTGAGATAACATGGAAACTCTAACCTACACAATGACATTCAATCTGCTCTAACCAGAATTAAAAATTCTCTTGAACATGTTCCTAGCTCTCCTCCTCCTTTCTTTCTCCCTGTTTCTTTTCTTTTCTATCTTTATCTAAGCAGGGGATCCACACCCCCCCACCCACCCCCCGCTTTCATCTTCTTCTTTCTTTCTCCTTTTCTCTTTACCCAAACAGGAGCTCTACCTTTATTACGCATCCTTCTTTTTTTTTGGATAATTAACAGATTTCATTAAGGCTACATTTGTTTTCAGTGTAAATGTGAATTGACATAAAACTCCATCGCTGGTTCGCATTTGCACGCGTTCGTTTTCAGTGTAAATATGGACCGGTGTAAAACTCCACACCCAGTCCACATTTTCACGTGTTTGTTTTCAGTGTAAGGTTTACATCGAAACCTTCCCATCGGTTGAATTTTGCATCGATTATCACATCAAAAAATCTCCAACGGTCCACTAAAATTTTAAACCCATCGATTGAGTTTTACATCGATGAATTTTCAACCAAAAATAAACGCAGCCTAAGCAAAGCAGAAATATATGTACATATACAGCTTCCCCATATGAGGTAGGGTGTCCTACCTCACCCCATTACATAAATTACAATTACAACTGTGCCCAATACATATGTTCCCTATCTACAGCGTGTCATCCAACCAGTTTGCAGCTCTTGGTGCCAACTGAACTCTTAACAGCAAATCTCTTGTCAACCATTTAATTTTTCAAAGCACCTCTCTATAGGTCCAAACTATCTGCTTTTCATTCTTTAACTAGCCAACCACCAGCTCAGAGTCCCCTTCAATAATTAGCCTGTCCACTTTCATTTCTTTTTCGTTCTGTGCTCCAAACAACACAGCAAGGTGTTGAGCACTACTTGAGTCCCCTACCCCAATAGGATCCGAAAATAAAGCTAAAGCATGGCCTTCTTTATCCCTAAATACCCCTCCTACACCTGACAGACCTGGGTTACCACACTACTCCCGTCAATGTTTAATTTAATGAAAGTATGAAACCCTCTTCCAGTGGCACCCATTATTGCTGACAGCCACCTCCCTCCATTTCCTTTTTCCTTCTGATACAATCACAAGAAAAAGGTGTGAATAGGTCCAAGGATTTGAGCCAATGTATCACCCTTGTTAGGATGCAATCCAACAATTTTCCTTAGATGTCTCTTTTTCATTAAAAACTCTTGAGTTTCTTTCTTCCCACACTGACCACACAACAGCAGCTCCTGTGCATCTCCACATCAACCTTCCTTTTTTCTCTGCCAACTGAAAGTACCAATCTCAACAGACTGGCCAGGCTCATAAGCAAAGTCCCACCTGCACCCAAATAAAAAGAACCATTCCCTTATATGGGTAACAAAAGGACAGGAGATTAGTAGGTGGTAACCAGTCTCACAATTGGCCTTGCAAAGAGAGCATCACTTTGGGGATAAACAAACATTTATCTTCTCATGATACACCTCCCAGCAGAAAGCCTCAATTTTGTTACTGTTGAGTTTCTGCCTAACAGAGACACTAGTTTGAGATAGTGTGGTCTCCTCAGAATATAGAGAGAGGGAGAGATAAAGAAATAAGTCTGAATCGAATCAAGGTAGTTTTTCTATTATGCTTAGCCTTTATTTATAGGTGCACACTGTAACAACTGTTAATTGCAACCACTTAAGAATCTGCTTGTAATCCACATGTAACAGTTCAAGAATTCAAGAATCAAGGTTCCCACTTGTATCGTGCTGTTGTATAGCTTTTTTTCTTATCAATAACTCTGAAAATTTTCATTAATTAAGAAGCTTTAATATACAACAAGAAGTTAAAGGGAAATCAGCATAGAAGCTGACCCAAGACAGCATTACAAAAGTGCCCAAAACATCTCTGTTCTTTGAACCCCTTGTTTTGCTGCTATCAGCCAAGCTGTTGGCCGATCTCCTTACCCAACCCACCTGAATAGACATATTTCTAGACATCCATTTGAACCTTCTGAAATCATTCTTCAGCTGCCAGGTCACTCCTTCCCCTTTGTGCAATCATTTTATCATAGTTTTTGAGTCTCCCTCAATGATCAGTCTACTAATCCCCAGATCTTTGGCCCTCTCAACCCCATATACTGCAGCTAGAAACTCTGCCCTAGCTACATCACCCTATTCCATAGGACTGGAGAACAAGGCAATAATGGATCCATCTTCATTTCTAATGCCCCCCCCCAATACCTGAAGGGCCAGGATAACCCATACAACTCCCATCGAAATTCAGCTTCATCCAACCCTCTGTTGGAGGGGACCAGGTTTCACAAATCTGTTGCCTCCTAGTTGATGAAGCAGCAATAAGTCCCCACACCCTGAAGAAGTCTTCAACTTTAAAACCTGAGAACTGCTTTAAACTTTTTACCCAGTGTGCCACCCTCAAAGTTATTGTTTCCACAAGAGCTTCCGTGCTGTTGTATAACTGGCTTTACCCCACGTGCCTTTTTCCTTGAGTATACCTTCTAGATGATAGACTTACTGGTTGTGTTTTGTTCTTGGCTTCTAACAATATCTCCCTTTCTTTCTTAATATATTTCTCCTATGAAAAAGTGGTCCACCCCCTATTTAATTTCTTCCTTCTTTCCTTGATCAGCAACTAACATCATCATCATCTAAGCCTTGTCCCAACTATATGGGATCAGGTAGGATCCCCAGAAACAGAAAAAGGCAGTACACTGATCAAGAGGGTAGGATCCCCAGTACAGAAACTGTCTACTAATTCCTTCCCTTGTTAGTGAGTCAGGAAGGGAGTTTACTGACCTAGGGATCCGAATCACTGGTGAATTTAGCCTTGTGGATAAAAACCTAGCTTCCATGGACCTAAGCTGTCATCTCTCATCCAACTAATAGTTATTTCTGAATCTCCCCCAACCTGTAAATCTGTGACTCCCAATAAGCATCCTAGTATCAGATCTTGGAGCAAGGAGTAATCATCCCTTGTAGAATTTCCCTCTCCAATGAAACCTAAGAAAACATGCAAACTGAATAGTTGATCACTTGAGTGATCCATTGCTGGTTATGGGGATAATAAGAATAGAAGAAAATAAAAGGAAACTAGAGGAAGGAAGAAGGAGAAGAAGAGAAGAGTTGTGTGTACAAAAAAGGGTGTGTTTCTTGTGTTTTAACACTCCATTCATTGTGCGACCCTGTGGTATAGTCTCGTAAATTGCCATGCTCTTGGAGTCAAAGTCCATCATCCCTAACAGAAAACTCAACAAACACCTTGCCTCCATTCAGTTCAGTATTGTTGTTCTTCCATCTTCACTGGAACCTTCTGTACAAGATTCCTCTTAGTTCAACGAGCATACATTAGAGAAAACATTTTCCTCTAAATGGCTACATGTAAACTTTAGTTTCTCTTGCTCTTCAACAGAAGTGCTATCTGCCGTACGCTGGAGCGAAGACGAACAACATTCAGGAGAACCAATATGAGCACCAGGCAAGTAAGCAGTGACATATTTAAATTTGATGTTAGCTTAGTCATGTCAAACACATAAAAATATGCCTTTTCACGCAGATAAACATATGAGCTATCAAATTTCTGTCATCCATGCATAAAGAAGATAGATTTCAATAGCCTGTTTCTTATAGCTTCCATCAGAACGTTACAAATTTCAAACCCATTTCGCAGTTTAACCAAAATATATTTATCTACCCAAAAAAAAAAATGAACAGGAATAAGAACATATAAAGAAGCATTACGACATTAGAGAGGGAAACAGAGGTATCGAGGTTCAACTACCAAATGCAGAATTTTGGGAAGCTTTAATGGCCTGGAAAAATCGCTGGCTAGAAGATGAGAGCATGCAAGTGAAGAGTTATTGAAACAGGACCCCATTCGTGCTCTGCTTCTGTTGTAGCTAAGATAGCATTTCGGCAGAACACCAACGACAGAGAGTCTATCTCTAACCACTTATCCGATTGATGTGAGCTATTATCTAAGCCTGCAAACAAACTTCTCTTTCGAGTGTGCCAATGGTGAACAGTCGAAGAAGTCGAAGCTCCAGTAACAGAGAAGAGAGGGAAACGAAAATTCGGATTTGCTGTGCTATTACAATTCCTTGATAAGGTAAGAGTAATGCTAGCAAGCAACTGATCTGCGTTTTTTAACACACTACAGACACTATGGAGTCCACGAAATGAAGCCCTTTATATATGTCCTATGTTGTTCCCTAATGCATTTGTGATGTACGTAAACATAATAGCGTTTCTCATTACAATGACGAAAACAACCCTGCACTGATATTTATCTCATCAGTGAGGAGACTTGGGCTGGGCCGTCGATATTATTTTATGCCATGGCCCAGCATAGCCCAAGGTTGAAGCTTGTTAAGTAGAACCCACCGAACCTAAGAGCGCATTTGGAAGGGCTTTGCGTTTGGATTAGGGCTGCAAACGGATCGGATCGAATTGGGTAAGGGCATATCCGATCCGATCCCTTAACAAAATATATAATATATAAATAACATATATAATATGTAAATAATATATAATATTTCATAATTAATGGATTGGATCGTGTAGTAGTGGATCGGATCAGCCAATATCTGAATTCGATCCATTAAGTTAAGGATCAACTTTTCTGATCCAATCCCATTTGTTAGGATCAAGAGGGATATCCGAATATGCCTCTTAACGGATCAGTATCCGGTTTGACTTATTGGATCTGATCCAACTTATTTGCAGCCCTAGTTTGTATTGAGTTGCGACAAAGAGCGGCTCATGTTGGAGTCAAGATCACTTGCCAACAAAATAAGTTCGAACACCCTACCAACAACATCTAACACTGTACATCTCATACATGGCGGGTCCCACTTTTATGGTGGGCCCTAGTTTTATAGCAAGATGTGTGGTGTTAGATATTGTTGGTAGGTTGTTGGAACTTGATGTAACACGGTCCGGTCACTCCTACCTGGCGCTCACGTGGCTCCTGAGAGGTACCTGAGATGAGAGGAAAAAAGAAGAACTCCCGAGGGGTCTCCCGGCGGGAAGCTCCGATGCTTAAGTTAGTACTGTGTGCAAGAAGCGAAAGAAGAACGAAGGTTAAGAGTGAGGGTAGTGCCTTATCACTATGTTCAGGAAGTCGAAGACTCAAGAAGAAGTTTCCCTTCTGCCCTGAGGGCTTTTATAAGAACACTCGCATTAGGTCGGGCATAACCACCACTGGGCTCCTGCCACAGCCGTTACCTGGCAGGGCTGCGCAGGTGGCCGTTGTGGTGTACGCTTCGTTCAGGTGAGTGACACATTTCCAAAGTGGCAGGCACGCCTTTTCCTATCGAGGGACGTGGACGCAGACTGTCGAAGGGCTGGGACTGCGCCGCCAATAGAGGATATGGCGCAGTTTGACTGGTACGGTCTGTCAGTCGGAAGCTTCCTGGAGGACGCTAGTGCGGCTCGTTCGCGATCTATCTCGTGGCGAGCTTGGAACACTCCAGGATGACCTTAGTGAAATTGGTCCTTGGAATGACTTGTCTGTTAGGCAGCTCGAGCGAGCTAATAACTTTAGCTCGCGAGCTACAGTTGCCTCAGGGTATCTCTTTGAAGATGGCACGGGGAACCTAGAGTCCGCCCTCCCCTCGTGAGTTGTAACGTAGCGGACTGCTCTGTGGGCCCGTCACTTGGTCGCTCCGGGCTTCAGTGCCAGGCTGTCGCTCATGCTAAGTCGGCGTCTACGTGTCACCGTCTCATAGGTTGGGTCAAATCATCCTTCATCAATTGCCCCCCACTCCTCGAGCTAAGAGTACTGCCTTAGCGCGGGGAGTTTATGAGGTGCGATTAACTGATTTGACCGAAATTCAAACTTGATTGACTGTCCTTATTAAATGCATTTGCGGGAATCAAGAGATTTTCGGACTTTCCTGACTTTTCGGATTCCGAAAACGTGTTGAGGTGGCCTTTAACTCCAAACGTCGTGTGACTGCGACTACCTTAACTGCGGAAGACGTGCCACCAATCGCCTTCGGTTTTCAGAAGGCATGCGGTCAGGGCGCCCGCGGACCGTTGGATCTACTTTGGTCCGGGCTGTCAATTTAAAAGGGTGGAGACTATAAATAGGGTCCGGGCTCTACTTCCTCCCACACCATCTTGCTGTCTTTGGATTCTGAGGTTGCGCACTTCACCTTGTCTACCTGAGTTCCTCAGTTTGCTTCGTTCCGTCTACTCTGGTGAGTCCCAATTATTGTCAGCCATGTCTGCGTACCCATATCACGCCTATCACAGGGGCGATAGCCAGGATGATGATGCTCCCTCGAGCTCGGGGGGTGCCTGGGAGCAGATCCCGGAGGCTCGGGAGGCCTCTGGTGACATGGTGTCTACTTCTAGGGGAAGCGAGCCTGATACCTTTGGCTCTTCCTTAATGACAGCGGAGAGACTCAGGTCTCTGATCCGCTACTTTCGCCTTTCTGGGGACCTGGTTTATAGCCTCTCTATTGGTAACTTCCCTTGGGAGCACGGCCCCGATGACATAGTAATCTTTCAGGAACAACTCGAGGTCGGCTTGCATCCCCCTACACCCTTTGATAGTGGAGGTGTTAAACCACTTCAACGTCACTATTGACCAGCTTCATCCCAACGCCATTCGAAACATGGTTGGGACTATATCCCTGTGTCACGAGCACTGCCTTCCTTTGGACCTTGATATTTTTGTCTCTATCCTTTGTATAAAGGATGCTGCTCCTGGGGTTCCTTCGGAGAGGCACTTTTATTACCTCTCTCCCCGTCGCGGCTATAAGCTCTTGTACGAGCTGTCGAATAAGATTCCCGCCTGGAAGCGGGACTACTTTGTGGTTCGTAACCCTGAGGGGTGGCCCTTTCCTATTGCTTGGAGGGGCGCCATCTAAGACCCCGGGACCGAGCTGGACCCTGAGATTCGGAAAACGATGCTGTCCTAGGCGTCGGTAGGCTTCCTTTGCTTGGACTACTTGATCGAGGAGAAGCTCGTGCAGGCAGGCTTGAGCCCAAGTAGGTCGGCCTTTTAGGTTGCGTAGTGCCTTGTGACTATTGTGCACATGTGTATTTTGTTTCTTGTTGGACTAATACCTTGTGGTCTTTTGGCAGCCATCATGTCCAGTGCCGATTCACGCCGCCTTCTCTCGGGTAGCCAGAGGCGCCATGCGAAGAAGACGCGCCCCGATCAGACCCCTCCTTCTGGAAGCACTGAGTTTGAGTCTGCCGAGCCGGTCCTACCCTCTCCTCCGCCCGAGGTTCCAATGCCCCCTCCTGAGGGGGCTAGTGGGATTAACTCTGGGGGAAACGAGCTTCCTCAGCCGGGGGAGGCCCCCTATAACCCCATTCAGCCCCGTCCTTACCCCCGGTTCCCAGTGGGAAACTAGGAAGGGGTAAATGATTATCTGGTGGCTTGCCGGAGGAGTCGGAAGGCGATCACTAATGATGAGATCGCTCAGTGGGGAAACATGGAGCCTGGGGATCTCTCCGCGTTCGCCTCTGCCCATTGCATGGTGGTAAGTGACCTTTTTCCCTTTTTCTCTCTTGTTTTGCCCTTTTCCACTGTCTTCTGATCTTCTTTTCTGTTGATAGGTGAATTCCGCCATCCATGCCATGGCTCTCTAGACACGCATCCACCGTGTTGATGCCCTTAACCACCGGGCCACCAACCAGAAGCTCCAGGGCGAGCTCGACCGGATCCGAGGCGAGCTTCACCACACCCGCAAGGGGAGCGAGTCTCAGGAGCTGCTCGTCCATGACCAGGAGGCTCAACTTGCCCAGCTTACTAAAGAAAGCGCACGTTACAGGGAGGAATCGTCGAGGATGGCGGTGGAGAGGGAGCTCCTCAAGCAACAGGTGCGGGACTTGGAGTCCACTCTTCTGAATCGGACYCRAAACTTTSATCARATGGKGGARGCTRAGCGAGAGAAAGCGGTCTGGGATTTTAAAGACTCCCAGGAATTTCAGGACCTCCAAGCGGAGTATGGTTCGGGTTCGTACCGCTCAGGGTTTAAGCTCAACCGGTGGCTGGTTCGGAAGAAGTTCTCCGGACTCAACCTCGACGGCATTACTATGAAAGGTCTGTCTCCTGAGACAGCGGACCAAGCAGATGAAGAGGAGCCTGACTCTCTAGAGGATGAGGAGGCAGATCCTTGAGGTGACGTTTCTCTGGGCTTGTAGTGGCTTCCGAGTGCCGTAAATCCGGTCTTTCACAAGTTTTCGGTTGGGCGGTTGTTCCCTATGATAATCAAACCTTTCTCGAGATGTTTAGCTCGGCTACTGCACTTGTTATTTTTCTCTTTTTTTTTACAATGAAAGTTATTTCCTTCTTCTGAGTATGATGAACTCCCTTTATTTTTGCTAAAGCGATCTCATCATTTGAGCTATTAAAGCTGCATGCCCAAAATAGGACTCTTCGGCAGTCGTTATCCCGATTTGTCCTTTAACGTTTAAGGCCTCTATGGTATACCGCGAAGTGATTACTATGTATGCCCGAACTATGCATTGGTTGGTTACTCCTCAGTTCAACCAACGTATTGAGGCGAGCTATGCTTCGTAGGGTTTAAACCTTAGCTGCTTACGCCTTTGATATTTCATACCTTGCCTTCGCCGCTGAAGTGGCTAAGTCTTTCCTCACGCCGAGGTCTTTGTTAGCTCGGTGTTTTGGCCCTTGGGCTGAAGGAGTGGCTCGTGGCCCACTCTCGGAGTCTGCCCATGCCATAGAGGCAACTCGGTCCTGTTGTGCCGAGATCATATTAACTCAGTATTCTGGCCCTTAGGCTTTGGGAGTGGCTCGTGGCCTACTCGACTCTTACAGATAATATTGCCTTAGGTTGACAATATTCCATGCTCGAGGTACTTGTTTCCCTTCGAGGGTCTCGAGCTCGTATGTTCATTCCCCGAGCACTCATTTCACTCGGTAAGGACCTTCCCAGTTGGACCCGAGCTTGCCAGCGCCAGGCTCAGGCACCATAACTTTACGAAGGGCCAGGTTGCCAACGCGGAGGTTCCGCTTCTTGACCCTGGTGTTATAGTACCGAGCTACTCTCTACTGGTAGGAAGCAGTCCTAATGTACGCGAGGTCCCTTACCTCATCGAGTAGATCGAGGTTGGTACGTAGCTCATCTTCGTTTGTTTGATCACTGTATGTTTTCTAGGCGCAACGTAGGTATTTCGATATT